AATGTGGACGGCAATTGAGAGTCGAATACAAGACCCAAATAAGGCTCTTATCATTATAAACATTGATATTTTTTTATCCGAGCTATGCACGAAGTGCCAATCCCCATTAGTCCATTCACCGCCAAAAACCCACCCTGTTTCTTAAATGATCAAACAATCAAACCGACTCTAAATGCACCAGGCTTGAAACTCAGCGTACAACAAGGTCCGGGAGGCATTCCAACTCAGGATTTGCATATAGGAGGCATCTATCTGGATGTTTTTGTTGATGTTGCACCCAAGCATGGCGAAATCTCCATGCAATATCTTTGGGATACAATATATGTCCCTTGTATTAGGCAGTACCATGATTGAGGCTACGATAGCATGCTCTAACGAATGCATATTTGATTCTTTTAATATGGGCTTTGGATTCCACAGGACCTAAATCCGCCAAGGCCCAAGCCTCGTGCCGCTTCGCGGTCACCATATCCAAACAACTATACCACGGGCCGCTCCCGATCTCCCCCGAAGCTAGGAGATCAACCCTCACGCCCAGTGCCGCAAGGCTAAACCAAGGGTCTAAAGCAACAACACTATCCGGATCTAAAGCAACAACACTATCCGGATTTGGGAGGTGCAGCATTAATCATCAGGATCAAACTCAAAATCTTCCAAATCAAAAATATCTTTCACAAACCGCGGTTACGATTCCACATAGACGCAACACCCAGGAGAAACGACTGCACGGGTCTAAGCTGGCAATGGCGCTTTCAATTTCGTCAATAATTAATATATATACATATTATTATTTATTTTTAAATATTCGTATATACATATATAACAATTATAATTCAATTATCTATTTAATTTTTATATTAATTTATTCAACAATATAAAATTTAATTTCATATAATTTTATATATAATAAATATATATATTTGTTATTTATATTAACAATAAATCATTTTAATATCGAATGTATATATATATATATTATTTATTTGTATTATTCATTCATCATCCAACAAATTTCCGCCAACTAGACTCTACCAAGGCAGGTCCTAACCACCTCTAAGACGGCTAGCATCCGAATCATATGGCATGGTATCAGAAAACCATCAATAAAGAATATCTATTCTAAATAAAAATAATGCGATCCAACAATAGCCAATATTAAAGATCATTATTACGTCGGCAATTACATAAAAAATGCTTCACTAAATGCAAAGCTCAATAAAATACCCAAACACGAATATATAATTTAATAATTAAATCCTAAGAAAATATACGGCATTAATATATAGCGTAATATCATACCAATTTTTTATACATTAAAACGTCATATATATTATAAAAATATTTCTTAAAATACTATATATATTTTTAAATCTTTATTTAAATAAAATTAAAAACACTAATTTTAAATATAATAGTTAATATGTTATTTTTTATATATGTAATAAAAAAATATGCGATATATATATATAAAATAATCGAATTCAATAATTATTATTCATATTATATATAAATAATACTACATTATTAAATCCAAATAAATTATATAATATATTTTTAAAATTATTTACAAAATATTTTAAAATATAAAAATCATTTAAATTAAATCAATATTTTTTATTAACATAACATAACATAACAAATATTAAATATTTATATTATAATATATATTAACATAACATAACATAAAAAATATTAAATATTTATATTATAATATATAAAATATAAAATAAATATATCATTCAAAAGAATATCTTCGATATATCATCCTAAAAATATAATTCCAATCAATAAATAGAAAACCATAAAGAAACATAATTAATACAAACAAAAATCTAATATTTTCTCAATCGCCTCACAACACCCAATATAAACAAAATCATAAGAACATTCGAAAGATCAATAAATAAAACAAATCAATCGTCTCCATAAATAAATAATATTACCTTTAAACAACAATAATGTTGTTAGCATATAATATACTTAATATATTATCTATTTTAAAATTCGTAATCTAATACCTATAATTAAATTACAATATTATCCATTACAATCTATCGTTCATTATCAAAATTCGGATTAATATAAATTTTTTAAACATTAATAACCTTAACCTAACAAACAAATAAAATAATAAGATCCAAAACAAATAAATCGAAATCATTTTTGCTAATAAACTATTTCTACCAACCGCACCGATATAGTACATTATAAAGCTATATATAAATTGAAAATGGTATTTATCTGTATCTCTCTTTATATATATATATATATATGAATAATTTGAATTATGTTTTTCCATTTTGGAAATGGTATCCAGGGTGCAAATAATTTGCTGATTCGATTTCACACAGCAACGGGATTTTTTGGCAAAGTCTTTCTGATGCTGATTCGCAAGTGATGAAGAACAGAAGTAGCCTCTTTGATTGTTCTAAACACTGACCACATCATGTCCTTTGTTGACCAACTCTTTTTATAGCTTGCCACCGCTATTGCTCGTGCTGTCCACACAAGGTTCAACTAGCCCTACTGACAGTTGAATATGAAGTGGAACTGAACTTGAAATCAACAAGGAAGTCTCCTACTCAGCATTTTTCTTTGACAAGTTCCACTTTCATCAGGGAGCATGCTGAGTCTGAGTGTACAAATTGTACTGAGTCCAGGGCAATGGCACAAGGCTGATATGAATAATTAATTACGGCTCATGATCGGATTGGGACCATTGGGTTAATAAGATTGAGCTTGTCTGATGATGTAAGTGTTGTCCAAATCAAACCCTTGGCCAAACACACGTGACATTCCGCCAATGGTTTACTGTCTCTTCAAAACTGGTCGACGGCCTTGTGCCCTGCTGCACGCTGGTGGTGAAGCTACAGCTTCGCTGGTGGCGAAACACAGCTCCGTCGGATGTCTTCGCCTGAAAACTAACAGCCAGCCAGCAAATAGTGCAGCGCCAAGCATCCCAGTCCCTATCCCATCCCACGAGAATTGGGATAGTGTGTGGTGGAGGCTTGCAAGAAACTACAAGTATCCTTCTGTGACTCTGATTGTGAGACATCCCTTGTCAAGATGTTCAACCAAATTCTCTGTTCCATATGCAAGATCCATATCAATCTCCCTTTCCTCCCGACAGCGCCTTTCTACTGTTCTTCACTGCCGGTGATCTGCCAAAGCCTGTCTTGTGCTTTGCGCGAACAACTAGCAGCCTACCGTAGCCTACCCCCCAGTACAAACAAGGAACCAATCTCGGGTGCCAAATGTACAAGTCAGTACAAGGTATATAAGTTATATAAGCCAACAAATTGCCATCCGTCCGTCATCTTGTGTTAGGGCCAGTGATTCCATAAAACATATATAACTATAAGTACATCTGAAGACCATTCAGGCATACCCTCAAAAAAAGCACTTGGACCCTTTGGTACAGCTTCTCAGCATTGCCCTAGCCTGAACCATCCTGAACCAAACTCAGCGGCCTTTCTCGTCTCATCATCTTCTCATTGAACACCACTGCATCCTGTCCAATGTACCTCGACCCACCAGCGATTCCCATGATACAGGCTCAAGCCATGCAATCTCTGTAACATTTCACAGAACCCATCAAACACATTCAAAACACAGGTATCTTTTTCAGTGATTTACTTTTACTTGCCAATAAGTGCTAAATATATATATATATACACATGTATTATAGAGTCCATTATGTTGCACTCAAATGAACAAACATACTGAAACCGGAACCGTATTACTCAAGGACTTCAGGCCTTCTTGCCCCTGCAGCATCATGAACATTGATAAACCACAACAACAAACCATCGCCTTCGCCCGTGTGGGCGCCAGCAGCGGATGACATCGAGGTCGCGTTGCGCAAGCTCCTTCTGCCAGCCCAAGGCTGAGAGCCTCGGGTGGGCGCTTGGTTCGGGTCAGCGGTTTTTGGTATGGTCCTTGGCTCAGTTGTGAGACCGTGCGACGTCGAAGGTACAAGCACAGTAAACACCGGCACCCATTCGGGGGTCCATCTAAGAGCCCTTCACTCTACCCAAGACATTGAAGATCATTGATGGGTTCTGGCACGTGTAAAAAGGATATAAAATTTCATGGGTGGTTGTGATTGCGTTGTGTGAATATCATCCCTTGACGATCTGACTGATGACTGACCACGTTTTCAGGCTTCGTCAGGTTACAATTCAGCTGATGATGGCAACCACACATTTTGCTCAGCAGCAACTCCCCGCAAATCTTGCGCCACCTGCCACGCATGGCGACGCATGGTCCCTGTAAGCGCGTATTGGGGTGTCCGGCGTGGTCAGCACACCACTGCCTAGGTTGCGAGCCAGGGGTTGAAACAAACGGGATGTTTGAATCTCTGAGATGGATGACCGGCTGGCCTGTCCAGCTTGGACTCTTAGGGTTCAAACCGGACTGGGCCGCACAAAACCCGGGAAAGCGCCGGTGTCCCAGGGACCGGTCCGGGCCGCCTTCGTTTGGAGAGAATGTTGGAGAAGATCAAGGGGGGAGAAGAAATGAACAGATAGGATACAGTTTTGGGTGTTTCTTGTATGAAGGAAAAGAGGTCAAAGAATTCCTCTGACAAAGTGTGCCATGATGTGCCATTTTATATATATATATGATTTCAGGAGATCCCCCGAGCTTTTGGAAGCTGTTGGTGGGTTGAACCATTATTGTGTGAACTCTTTTTGGAGATTGGGTTCCCACCGCGGATGAACACTTGCCTGATAAGCTCAGCTGAGTGTCCCCACAAACAATCCTTGCCATACTCGATCAGCCTGTTCGCTGGTGGACTTGAAATCAGCCAGGAGATCCTCGCCAGGCAAAAAACATATGATTCTTCTTTCCCCGAACACAAGCCGCCCAGTGACCCACTTGGTTCGGAAATCACAGCAATTCAACCAACAATCATCCTCTTGGCCTCATCGCATCAGCGCTCCAACACGTTTGACATGGGGACTGCCGGGCGGTGGTCTGGACTACTGGATGTGAGGTATTCAGAGACGAGGTAGTGGAATTTCCACCTGAGTGCGGTGTTCCATGAATGTGTTGGTTCTCCGATCGTTTTTCAAAAGAAATACAATGAAATACATTAAATTCTGGTTATTGCCTTTTTAGGAGTTCAAAGAAACACGTGTTTTTATGTCTTGCGAGAAATGAATGACGACCTTCAGTTTCGGCCTCGTAATGCTTCAAGTACTGACAGGCCTCCCCGGCCTTGGAAGTTGGGACGATGGCCTTGACACCATGGACTGGCAGCGTCTGGCCCGGAAGAGTAGCCTGGGCGTCGTTCGGAACGTCGAACGTTCAGCCAGACCTCAGCAGGCGATTGCCTGAGGTGCCCACCAGGCGACCGGCGGAAGATGGACGGCTTGCCAATTTCAATGTCCTCTCACCATGGGCCTGCCTCGGCACGGCTTCATGTTTTTTCTGAAAAAGGTGAGAACAGTAATACATGTTAATACACTTATTGTTTCTCAGCAGGTGGTACAAAGGCGAAAAAACAGAACGTAGAACTCACAAAATCCGGCACTTAACAACGTCCTGATCCCAGTCAAATGTCGATGGCCAATTGGATCTTTTTTTTCCCCCCTCAACCTTCGATGGAAATTCCGAGTCGACGAAGTTTACAGGATGCTGCACGTGAGGAGAGCCACTTCCTGCCCTCTGGCGTCACATTTTGAGTGTCCCAGCGCCACTTTCGAGCAGCTGCTTCTAACCCGGTCCTTCGATGGCCATGGGGTCCGGTCGGGCCTTTTTCAACGAGCTGCGCTGCTCAGGATCTGATGGGATGTTTGGCTCAGTCGATTTCTTCCGCTCATCCAAAGCTTTGGATCCCAGATCCACATATTATAAGGCTGATCCACATATAGGTATATATACGACCCAGTAAGAAGAAAAATACGTTCTTCCTCTTGAAGTATATATATATATATTATGCATATGATCATATGATGCATAAGGAACCGGTGTTTCTAATTAGATCTATGGTTTGAGTCTTTGGAGCACTGGTTACCAGCGACTTAGTGGGAACTGTGGCGCCCATCGCCCATCTCCTTGTACTCGGCGTAAGCCAACAGCGAGGGACGCTGAACCTGGGGGTAGCCGCCGGCGCGCTCCGCCTGACCAGTAGGGCCGCATAGGGCCAAAGGCTGGTGGACCGATTTGGACTGCGTGAAGATTGGGGCGATACAGTAGGGGCATGTGTTGGACATTTATGGGATTCGTACTACGAAATGAGTATTTCCATGAATGTGTTGGTTCTCCGATCGTTTTTCAAAAGAAATACAATGAAATACATTAAATTCTGGTTATTGCCTTTAGGAGTTCAAAGAAACACGTGTTTTTATGTCTTGCGAGAAATGAATGACGACCTTCGGTTTCGGCCTCGTAATGCTTCAAGTACTGACAGGCCTCCCCGGCCTTGGAAGTTGGGACGGTGGTCTTGACACCATGGACTGGCAGCGTCTGGCCCGGAAGAGTAGTGGGCGTCGTTCGGAACGTCGAACGTTCAAGCCGTGGCAGCCAGACCTCAGCAGGCGATTGCCTGAGGTGCCCACCAGGCGACCGGCGGAAGATGGACGGCTTGCCAATTTCAATGTCCTCTCACCATGGGTCTGCCTCGGCACGGCTTCATGTTTTTTCTGAAAAAGGTGAGAACAGTAATACATGTTAATACACTTATTGTTTCTCAGCAGGTGGTACAAAGGCGAAAAAACAGAACGTAGAACTCACAAAATCCGGCGCTCAACAACGTCTTGATCCCAGTCAAATGTCGATGGCCAATTGATGCCAATTGGATCTTTGCTTGTTGCCCCCTCAACCTTCGATGGAAATCCCCCTGAAAGACCCCGAGTCGACGAAGTTTCTTGAGCGGTCTGAGATCCGTCACTTGGGTGGCATCACAGCGCCTTGCGTGAGGCCATGGGTCACCTGGATCAAACATAGCGAAAGGTCGCTCGAGACGATGACGCGATGAGGTGGTTGTACGTTAACATTGCAAAACGGAGGACAAACATGGAAAAACGAAAGCTTGTCTGGACAAGGACGGCTAAAAATGCTATACTGTTAAAAATACATTCAGTTTCTAACTGCAATGAGCGATCTGGATAGAATGTATCTATGGATGTCTATGGTAAGGCTGCTGAACCACAAACATGCTACCCTTCAGTTTCTTGTTCCAAAGCACGTGAAACCACAGGCCATTCAATCCGTGCTGTCAAGAAAGGCGGAGAACGTCACTGAAGCATGGCAAGTGCTTCGGCTCGAGGCGGGCAACGTCTGAATGTATGCTATTTCATCCCCCCCGGGCCTGAAGAGGTTCTAGAATCCAACTGGAGGAGCAATGGGGGCGGGCTGGACATGGCTAGACATCATATATCATCATATTACCTTTTGTCCCTTCGTTGTCAGCCTTGGGCCTTGGGTCTTTATATAATTGGCCTCCATGTTGAGACCCATCCACTCTCCATCCGAACCAGTGGATTGCAACCAGTTTTCATCTTCCCAAACTCGTTTGCAGCAACCTGGATAAACGAAATGCATCCAAGCTAAGATCTGCTCAAAATCCCCCAGTGGCCCTCCGCCCTCTCAAGTCCCTTCGGGACTAAAAACCAACTCCACCTTCACTGGCCCCATTGTCGCAGCGAACTCTCTGACTCTCCTGTCGAGGTGTCCAGCCGACGCAGTCGAGGCGTCGAGCCGATGAGACGAGGTGTCGAGCCGATGAGTCGAGGTGTCCAGCCGATGAGTCGAGGCGTCGAGCCGATGAGTCGAGGCGTCGGGCCGATGGTTCCAAACAGAAGGACTTCTGAGACAAACGAGACACACTGACTACATAGCACGACTTGATGCGACTTGCACCCTCGACGAAGAGAAATTTCTGTACTCAAAGGTTCCTTGGCTCCTTTTTCTATGATTAAACAGTAACATGTAAAACATATAACCTCGCCTCGCTGTATACCCCATATTACACCATGCGTACGTCGCAAATTACAAGGCAGGTCATATATATGGGAAACATGCACCACTTACGCAACGGCGCATAATTTTATATCCAATGCAACATGCAAAGTTCTACACTACTACGTGTATATTTAGTGGTTGCGCATGTATGTCTTCTCAGGCCACCAGGGAACCCAAGAAAACGACAGAAAACCATATTGGAAAGCGGGATGTCATCACAAAGGATCAGAGGGGAGGTTTCATGTTCCGAATCCACTGATTGGAGGAACCACTCACAATCATATTTGCTTGGAATACTGCAGCCATATCGTCTTGGCGGCGGAGATGTTGGTCACTTTTCTCTTGGAAGTGGGTGATTTTGCCTCTCCACACGCTTGAACGAGCAAGGACGCGAACATTTGCGATTCGCTCAAAGACTTTTTATTTCTTGACACTGCTCACTTGTGCGTCTGAGTTACGTGATGTCAGATGGTGAAAGGAAGCAGACGAAGTCATCACCACTTCTACTTTTGCGAGAAACTTATCTGAAGACTGCAATTTGATGCAATTTGCACTAGAACATGCAAATACCTGGTCTACACATGTAAGTTGTTCATTTTCTAGCAGAGTGTTTTAACTTATCTTTGTAGGAGACTGCAGGCGTATCCCACTAGACAATGAGAGTTCCAGATTGGTCCAGGTATGTTTGGCATATTCTAGTTGTCAGTGAAACTGACCACGCGCAGAAAAGTCTACCAAAATTTTGTTGCTAGAAAATGACAGGTCCAGTTGTGTCCAGGAAGGCTTGCCATTTTCTAGTGTTGATTAGATGCTGCAAGCCCAGGAAGATGCACGCTTGGAAGTCTTCGCTTGCAGCCAGCAAAGATTGCCCGGATAAGGTGACTTGAACTGCAGACAACGGTGAGAATTAATGGGATTTGTGGGGGTATGATGAGAATGGATGAGATATGTAGTGTCGAGAAGTGTATACAATGTTATTGTACATGTTTGTTTCCCTCTATCAGGGCCTCAGATGGTTCATGGTTCATGCTGTGGATATCGAGAGCTCCAAGTTTTTTTGTGAAACCTTGCGCTCTGGCCATGGTGCACGGAATGCTTCAAGCTTTCCTGCTACTTCTTTGCACATTGTTGCGTAATTATGTTGCTAGAAAATGAGGTTCCTGGGTTGTATCACTTCTCATTTTCTAGTAGTTGTGGCTTGGGACCCAAAAGGGATACGTTGCACATTGTTGCATAATTGTGTCGCTAGAAAAAGAGGTTCCTGGGTTGTATCACTAATGATTCTCATTTTCTAGTAGTTGTGGCTTGGGCCCAAAAGAGATATGTTGCACATTGTTGCGTAATTATGTTGCTAGAAACTGAGCTTCCTGAAATGTAGCACTAATGGTTCTCATTTTCTAGTAGTTGTGGCTTGGGGCCAAAAAGAGATATGTTGCACATTGTTGCGTAATTGCGTTGCTAGAAAATGAGGTTCCTGGGTTGTATCACTAATGATTCTCACCTTGCACCCACTAGAAAATGAGGACTCCTCATGTCAAGAATTCTTGACCAGCAGCTATGTTTGTAGATCTTGAGGATTTGAAGCTTATGTTTACTATTTGGTATTACTTTGTTTTGTTTTACTTACGCTCCGTCTTGACTCCTCATGATTCATCATGTTTGCGAGAAAATCAGGAACCCCACTACAAAATGAGGATCACGGTGGGCTCAAGAAAACAAGGTGATGTCTAGAAAATGACCCTGCCAGCATGCCTATGAGACCTGTGATCCTCATTTTCTAGTGACCTACATGTCACTAGAAAATGCAATACCTGACCCTTTCTCGGTGAGTTTACCTCTTTGAGACTAAAGAATGCCCGTTTTCTACACACGTCAACCCCTCCCATTTTCTAGTCCGAATATCATGGGGAATATGTTTCCTATATATATGATCTGCCTCGTTGAGTCAATGATTTCGAAGTATATACAATCTGCCCAGCATGCACCGCACATTTCGATTGGCCGGGCACACGGGCTAGGCATACAGCCCGAACAACCACGCGGACCAGAGATGGTGCGGCCGACATCGTTGTGTTTGAATTGCCAAGCAAGTGGTGGCATCTCGAATCGCCCGAACAGCTCAGCCACCCATATATCATCAAAAATCATCAAACATCTCATCATCCTCGAACCAATTTGGGCACAACGTGAGAAAGTGAAGCACCCAAATCCATCCGACGTCGACGGTCATCGAATATGTTGGAAGATGCAAGTGAGTTCAGAAGTTGCTCTCTAAGTCGCAAAATGAAGAGTTACTGTGAAAAACCGAAGTAAAAGGCTTCCAAAAACCACAAGATAGCTTGGTGGAAGCACTCTGGTCACCACAAACGCGCCGCGGCACCGCGGCACCGCGGCACGGCGGCACGGACGCGCCTGCTTCCACGGAGGTCTACGAGACGTGCCGCGCCCCCCACTGAGCCTAAACATTGCAGAAACGAAGCCTCTCTTCACCATGACCTTTCCAGCTTCCGGGGACAGAACCCCCATGAAGCCAAGGGGTGTAGTGCCAGGCCCTTCAGGTCAAACCGACCGTGGAGGCTGCTTTTTTGAATGTGCTCAACCATGTTTAAAACATCGGATGCATGGGCGTTCCATCCATGTCCATCCTAATCAACTGCAAGAGTTCGGATGCGGAAAAAACTCACTCCCTAGCCTAGAACCTAAGGGTGCATGGAGTTCATGGGTGGCAGTGTGCATATATGTTAATTTGTTCTTTTCTGCCCAAATGGATCCAAAGTCGTGTCTCGTGATGCAAACGAACTTTCAGCCGCGGTGGCCAGGATGATGGCCGGCTTTCCCAAGATGGCTGAAACCATCTGCAAAACAGGGTGTCCCTTTGGGAAGTACAAGCAGTATGCAAATGTCTTCCTGCATGCAACAATGAACTTGAATTAAATGAAGGATGGGTCAACTGAAAAGGACTTCAATGAACTTGACTTGCTGCCGATTCTCGGCTCTCTTTTTGCCACCCTTTTGATTTTTCTTGGGTGAAGTTCTGGACGTCGGCGACGCCTGCAAGAAAATCCGCCATGCAACATGGGAGAAGATGTCTACTGGCATGTCTGTTTCAATGGTTGCAAATAGATCGTTTGACATGTTCCATGGGATGTCCCGTGCCGGGTCCTCCAATGAACGAGTTGCCTCCGCGAGAAATGGACGAATGACCTTCCGGTGATCTGGTCTTAGGTCACATCTCATGCTGGGCTTGACGCTGTCGGAACTTGCCTCAGGGTTCTGGCCATTCTTGCCTTGCTCCACAGGAACCCAAGCCTCATCCCACTCATCGTGCGGACCGAGCAAGTGGGGAGAGATGCTCAGAAGATTATCACTATCTATCTTTGAAACAATGATAGAATCCTTGAGGAGTTTACTCAAGACTAAAAGACTAGAAAATGATTGCAGCAGCGACAACAATTATTATCTGCTTCTCAAGGTCTGAGAAATCTTACAATCTTTTGTTCCCGTACTGGTCAGAAAGGGTTTGCTTGTCTTGCGGCTCTAGAACTCATCGTTTACCCTGCCCTGTCAGATGACGACGGCAAAACGGATCTCTTTCCAGGGCTTGATGATTGGGTGCGTGGGGCAGCCATGCATGCACAGCCACTAAGGTGCACACGACATGACAACTGCATCTGTGAGTCTGGGCAAACACTACATGCACCCTGTAAGGCTTAAGGGGCACAGGAGTGAACAAAATTGCAAGCAAAACACTCCTTTGTCTCCAGCAAATAACAACGCTCGGACCCCCACCTTGGTGTTGCCACTGCTGGACTCAGCCTCTGCCGTATTTGAGGCAAAGGCTGAGAGGTGCCGGTGCCGAGTCTGGCTAGGAGTGTTGAAACCTTGCATGTGACTTGGACCCTAAAACCCTTTCCTTGCTACTTAAAGGCGTGGAGACTGAAGGTCACCAGGCTGTTAGACAAATGTGACCAAACAGATTGCGATTGATGGATTCGGATTCGGAACATGAGAAGCTTCCCGAAGTGATCCATCAAGTCTAGGTGATGACATCCCAACCGCTCCATCAAATCAACATCCGCGATACCCGATCGACAAGCGTAAAGAGATCGATGGTAGAGAATATGCTTGCCACAATGGTAGTATCATGTTACATGTTGGTTTGTAATTCCTGGAATTACCATGACATGCCAACCATGGCATGCATGCTCCCTCGTGGAACTTCGGAAATGCCCAGTCCTTTGCAGGCTTCGCAGGCTTCTCTGACTTTTCTGCAGGCTTTGCATCTTCAACCTGCACAGGGCCGTTGCTCACATGGCAAACCCCGAGTCCTTGTATTTCATCCCTCAGTCCTTTTTACCCTTGACTGATCGGTTTCTGGGCCATCGCCTGGAAGGAAGGGTTTCCATGGACAACAAAACGGGTCGGTCCAATCGCCGGCTCCAAGTCGCATCGAATCGCAGGAACTCCAAGTTGCACATGCTCCAAGCGCTGGTCCAGGATGTCCAAGCCCAGCTGAATCCTTGGACCTTCTTTGTTTGGGACCCACGTTCATGTGAGCAAAGCCTCTGCCACTATATGGACCTAATGATCTATCATATATATGGTGACTCAATCCCGGTTATGATCTATATGGTGATTCAATCCCGGTTCTACTTATCATCCGAACGGCCGAACGACCACTCCACGTGCCACCAGTCGAGTGCCGAGCCACCTCCGACCTCGCCTGAGTTTTGAACTCCTGCGCCGTAGCCTGAGCAGCGAAGGAAAGGGGATCACGGTGGGCGACGCGAGGAGTGACGGGATCACGGCTGGTCGGAGGATGGCTTCTCCACTGGCTTCTCGTAGAACTCCTCTCAGAGCTACACTCTGAGTCACTAGCTTAGAAGTGGAAAGCTGGTCAAAAAGGAAAGAACATTTCCATGAGACCATGCCAGGGACCATGCGATCCACTGCCATGTTAGTCAGAGTGAAAACTCACTTTTGGGACTCGAACAAACTGGTCATGGGACCATGGGCCTATATATGCAGTAGTAGTAATAACTCTGTTGTCCTTTGTATCTTCGAGTACTTCAAACAGTTCTTGACACAGGATCTTGCAGTCTCATCAATCCAAGGGTTCCTCCCCTGTCGCCTTCAGATGGGAATCATCGACAATCACTGGATCTCATGCATCCATGTCATGCCAAACTGCTTGTGCAAGTGAAAACCTTTGTGAACCCCACACGGATTTCGGACTTTACGCATATCCGAAACGTTGCAAAACACTTCTCGTAGGCTGTACAACCTTTGACACAAGTGTTAACTGTTCTTTCCTACTGTTGTGACAACATACATAATTCATCATAATTCTACATAAATCTACATAATACATACTGAAGGATATCTGGAACAACTCCTCCAAACTTGGCACATCACTTCACGCTCGCTGAACGCTGGCCTTGAGCTTTTGTAGGAGCTCAACAGCCTGGAGGTGCTCCAGAAGAAAGTTCTTGGAAGGACCCCCCAAAGCCCATGGTCCACTGGCTTTGCTGGTCTTCGGATGTTTTCTGAAAAGAATACGTTTTCGCTTTGTTGCTTCACCGAGGCCTTCGTTTCACCCAAAAGCCGTGCACTGGCCTAAAACACAAGCCATAGGCCATAGGGTCAAACTTACAATAGTCTCGAAGATGCTTGGATGATCTTTTTGTCTTGGATGCATATATGGTAAACTTTGGGTCTATCATGGTCTATCCTATTACCAGCAACAGTGGATGATGATGGTCAGTAAAGGCCTGGTTCAAAAACAGTGATTTGCTTGTTTCCTGATTCGAAAGAAACGGTAAGTTGGGACAGACCCAACATGAACTTGTCGAACTTAAGAATACTTAACAAATCTTAAGAGTCGACAGTCATACCTCTTAAAGACTGTTGACTGTTGGGACTGTTTGTCTCCTCTTAAGTCAGTCTTACTTGTCGAACACCAGTCCGACCTTGCCCATGTCGTCCGGCCCGAAGAGGTCACGAAGGGGTAGGGTAGACCGTTAAGGAATCCCCGAAGGGGCCTCGCGGTGGGGCCTTTGTTCATCCACCAAACACTCGTTGCGACAAATCCGGTGGCGCATGGCTCGGCATTTCGAAGGCCCCGGGCCTTGAACAAGATCCGTCGATGGGTGCACATCCGTCGATGGCGGACGGCCCCGGAGGTTTGACCATCCCAAGCCCGTGCGAAGTTCGGCGGGTCGATCTAAATGATTTGAGCGGAGGAAGATCCGCAGTTCAGCTCTGATTGGTTTAAAGCGCACTGTATAAGTGATGAGGCCGGATGGAGATATGGAGAGGATCAACCCGATCTACCAGAATGAATGTCTTCAGTCTTCAGCCCTTAAAACTACGTGACCCCTCACTGAAACGCTGAATAAGACATCCAATACGGTTTTATTTGGTCCTGACACCGCGTCTGCCGGTGGTCCGTCTCGCCTGCTTGGGATCCTTTCGTTCAGCGATGACCCGCCACAAGGAGTTAACCTTCGCCGACCGATGGTTCATCGTCCGGCAAGTGGTATGAAGACATGATGCAGCGAAACCATAAACCTATGAGCTCTAGACAGCAACTTGGGAAGTTGGTAAGTCTGATCCACTGAATTTGAGTTCATTTGCCCTTATATGGATGTCTTATGTTTACATTTGCCCTTTTCAGGATCAGTAGAAACTACAACAATTCCTGGGGCATTGGATATTGATATTATAGACTATATCATTAGATCTGTTATGGATCTGTATAGATTATGCTTTTGGAACCTACTAGACTCACCAAACAATGGATTTTTTAGTGATCTGGCCCATCCACGCGGCGCACGTGGCCTGTTCTTTTAGGTCATCATAGCCGTTCTGCCCCAAGCGCAAGAGCTGGTTGAGGTCATAGAGCAAGCTGCCCCGGTCGTGGGCCATAAAAAAGTCGGAGATCACCTGAGCCAATTTTGGAGACCACCTCGACTCCAACTTGCGGACTCCAAAATCAACGGTGAAACCAAGGGATCGCCAGGGGGGCTTTTTTTGGAGGGTTCTTATACATGATTGCATACATTATATATGATTAATTATGATTAGATATGAGATGAGATGTTCTATAGTAAAGACATGGCCTGAGCGCCCAGTTTTGTGCTGGGCCCGCGCCAGGCTCGGTCTCGGATCCCCGGGCCCCTCGGCCACATGGGTGTGTTGACGTCCGCCCGGCAGTCGGATCTTCAAGTATGAATGCGCTGTCTTGGACCTCGGAAGATGCCGTGAGATGCCGTGAGATGTGAGGAGAAAGGGTTGAAGGATGTTGAAGGATGGTTGAAGTTGGGGGGGGAGCGACTGTGAGCAACTGAGCCAAAGCCGAAAGCATTCTCGATCTGACATGATCTGACTAGTTTGAGGTTGCAGGCAGCTCATCAGCAAGCAATGCAAAGTTCCGCCAGGAACAGGGGCTATTTCAACACTTACAGTTGCCTTTGCCCAAATGTGGACCCACATATTTCAACACAGTGGCAAGACGTGAGGTTTCTCAGAAGACCCTGCAGATCTCTGGGGATCCCGCAGGATGTCACTGAGATCCTTCATGATTGGTCTTTTGATGCCATCTGGCCCTCCAACGACCATGATGACCGAACCGATGTCCTGCTTGCCGCTGCAGAAACACACCCAGGACTCTGAAAATGAATAACTCCCCCCCCGCAGGCCTAAAGATGTTTGACCGAACTCTCTACCTCTCGGAATTTGACTGGGGCATCCCCAATCCTCCAAAAACGGATTTTCAGGCGATCAACCTTTTGGTGTTTATTTTAGGTAGGTCCATCTGAAGGGGGGGGCTGATTCATCAACAGTCTACATGATCCAACTCGTGGCGTCGAAAGGCTACGAATCCTCAATTCCTGGCACCATGGCCGAAGCATCTGCATCTGACTTTGGACATCAACAAGTGAACATGAGGTAGAACAGATTCGACGAGAGACCCAGGCCTACCACAATTAATGGTCCATCAATCTGAATTCCATATTGCAACACACTGCAGCACTGCAGTCCTGGTCTTGCGCATTTCCATCTGGCACCGGAATGTTCATCAGCTCTACTCCACCACCTCATCTGCCAAAAAAGGAGCTGCCAAAGGCCAAAGGGATCAGATTGAATCACAAAGAAGTCCATCTAGATGGAGCATCCAATGGGTGCTCCATGGAAGCCCACAGGTCGTGTAGTAGGGGTCCAGTCTGTTGGAGAACGTGTCCGATACTCCTCACATCCACAGCGTTTTTGTATAACAAACCGTTCCCAGTGGCCATCCAAGTGCACCACAACACACCTTGGGCCGAGCGAGTGCGCGACGGGCGGTGCTGGCGCCCGGTGCAAAGGCGCATCAGGGATGACCCACTGGTGTGGGAGGAGGGCGAACATTGGGGAGAGGAAAGAAATCGCCCTTTAGTCATAGTCACATTGATTGTTGAGTTCAACAGCAGGAAAGGGGCAAACACTGGTCTTTCCCTTTTCTCCCTTCACCTGTTTGAACAGGACAAGGACTTCATGCTGTCTCATCCAGGCTATTCCTATCGCATAGACTCCAGGACAACGTATTCTTTGGAATAATATGGAACAATATGAACACTTCCATCGGCTTGTTATGCTTAGAGCTTGCGCTGAGCTAGTGGCTTTTGGTGCTGCTGCTGCGCCTGCCGCGGATGCTGGCAAATCCAGGCATTCTCAACAAATATCTCAACAACGTGACACGGATGTCTGTTGGTGTCTTACCATCCTTATTTCCATCCCTTCACCGCCAAAAACGCTGGCAAACCTCTCGACAGCTTTTGACCTACCTGACTGTCATGCAAATCTCTGCTTTGCATCGCACCTGCATCTTCATCTCCATCACTCTCCACCAAAGCCAGCTTTGCCACGTATCGCAGGGACCTGTGAAACCAATGGCCACAACTAGCAATTAACTAGTGAACCGCCGCAACGCTGCCCGCAGGCGCGACGCAGGAAAAAAGCACGCGCGCGCTTTTGGTACGCAGCTGCACAACCGAGGGGGCCTTTGGATCCCAGGGCATCAACCGTCACCTTCAGCGCAAAAGGAAGCGCTGAAGAACGGCGTGGGTGGAGGATAGGAGCAAAAATCTGTTGTCTGGATTTCTCGTTCATTTTAAGTGTTGTTTTGCATGTTAATATATATATAGTAATATTTATATATATATACACACCATATTCAAGGGTACAACTATAAGCACTCAAAACAATGCTTGATTTAGGTTGCTACTGCCGCCCACTCCCATCCAGAAGCACAACTCTCATGTGTTGCTCTGAGTTCTTCAATCTACTTCTGGGATCTGGGTCAATTCGCCAAATGAAACCAATCCATGCTGGCAGGCTCCGGGCACCACTGGGACGCCGACGCCAGACTCTGCCTTCTCTTTGGCTCCTTGGACGGAGATTTGTGAGATGAGTTGCAAACAAACAGGCTCCAGGCTGACACAAATTATGACTATACCGTCATGTTCTTTCTCCATACCTACAAAGTATAAATCAAAAAATGATAACAATGCCAGTAGGGTCCTGCAACTTCAGTAAGACACTGGGTGTGTTCTACCGCTCTGGGCAGCCGGTCCGTGCATAGCCAGTGCGGTGCCAATCACCGTGGTTTCCGTGAGCGCCTCAAGCAAGACATATTATCCGAGTTAGATACAAGTGCAAACCAACTCCAAGCGTTTTTGAAGGTGACGTTTGGGAATCTTTCAAGTTTCAACTGGGTTTGGTTGTGTTATGTTCGCATGGCTGTCTATTATTAGGGTTTAAGGATGTTTAAGGCACAATTCTTTCAAGCTATGGGTTTGGTGTGGTTTTGGTAGAGATTTGGGAACCTTATTCAACTTGTGGGGGCTTGGCAGCTTGTCGCACCCTCATTTAGCTCATACCGTCGCCGTGGGCGAAACTCGAAACTTCGAGAAGCGCCGAAAGTCTTCGGTTTTGGGCCTTGGTCTTCCTCTGCGACAGGTAGGCGCCAAACTTTGGCAGGTTGTAGCACAGAATGCTCCCTCGGATGGAACACGTAGTGGAACACGTGCTTACAGAACGCGTCTGTCGCAGTCCACAAGTCCAAATTCACTGGCCATGTTTGCTCAAAGTCATCATGGTTCACAAATATCCATGACTGGACCAGTAGGTTGACATTGCCTGGACCATATTTGTTGTCGCATTACTACTCCTTTGAGACGCAAGTCGCAGGAGTCGCCGGCCGCGGGATTCGCCAAGCTGCACGGCGACACACACCAGAATTCAGCTACTTCTTTACGAAAAAGCTCACCCTCCTGGAGACTTGCTGAAGCCCAAACAAGGAATTAGTGGATCTTCATGTGTGGGATGTTTAACAAACTGATGTTGGTCGGGGATCACAAATTCTGGAGCTGCAACCCAACAACACAAATGTCTATGTACACATGTGCATCTTTGTGTTCTATGTTCTGACCAAGCACGCTGTTGTGTGATGGCAAGGTGACTGAACAAACCTGCAGCAATCTGTGACGCTTTGCACTCCAATGCCCAACGCCTCAGAATCCTGATGCAAAAAAATAGCCCCTTCCTCAAAACTCTGGGCTCAAATCCCCGAGGCCCAAGGCTGACTTTGGCCAATCCCTATAGACCACCACTTCGGGAAGACTGAGCCATTCGACAAAACGTCTGAGCCGTTCGGGATGTCTTCCCACACATCGGACATCGGTGTCGCGTCCCGACGCATCTTGCTGCGCTGTCTACGTGAATTGGAGTTGACAAAATAAAGATAGTTAAGCACCTCTGCCAAGTAGCATGCAGGACCCTGGTCAAGACTTCGGCAAAATGGCCCTGGTCGCCCAACTTTCTAGAAAGAGGAGAAACCAGGAAATCGCCATCCAACAACCTGATGGCTTCGGAAAAATCTTGAGCCGTGAGCCAAATCATCCTCGTGCTCTCTGATTCATATTTCAATGGCTTGTCCGTCGTCAACCTCGGGTCACTTCCTTCCACCCTGCTGAAGCTGCTCCTTTGCACAAGAGCGGAGGCAGGCCTCAGCAACTGGAGATGGAGCTACTCACACAGGTCGTCACGGGCATTGGCAGGATGCTCTGCCAGAAATCGTGAACCGTGCTTGACTTGAACCGCCCAGCGGATTGAACTTGGTGAATGACTCTTTGTTGGGCTCAGGAAGAAACCACTCAGACAACACATTCGCTGACTGTGATCCTCGTGATACACAAAAACTATTATCAATTATCTCCCACTCCATCGGGCCCCTGCCCGATATGGGGATGACTGGATCGTTTTCAAGTCATTTTCAGTCAGTCTTTTTGTCCCTAATGCTGCTAACATGTCGAGCGGTCTAGCTTTGGCAAGCGATATGGAGATGTCCAAATGGTTGTGGCAAGGAACTGGGAACTGGGATTGGGCCCTACAATCTAGGCCAATTACTATGATGTTCTATGCTGGCTTGCAGTCTGTCACCATGGCACCTCTACTGACGAGCTTGATGCACACATTTACAAGAACTCAGCAGCTGTGACTCTCCAAGACTCATCTCTAACTCCGACCGACTGAGGTGTGGACCTGCATGTTGTCGAGGCGAAACAAGTAAGGATTTGTAATTTTGTTGCACGTCCTGGCGTCGTGTGAAACACCACGCATTCGTTCCCTCCCCAAGCGGCAGCGCGAAACGCAGCGCGAAACGCAGCGCTTCTGGTGTAGCTATGTATACCTGCTTTTGTTCGGGAATTTGTTAAATCATGAAACACATCAAACAATATTAAAATATGTCAAATATACAAAGATCAAGACCTAGCAAGACAACCCAAAGGTCCAAGAGCTCAGGTCGGACCCTCCGACCCTGAAGCTTCTGACGGAAATCACAATGAGATCACATATAAAAGCTCATCAGAGTCATCTCCATCAACTCCCAATCTGCATTCCTGAGCGAGACCCAAATCACCTTTCGAGCTCTCTTACTTCAAACAAAAGGAGAATTGGTTGGATTTGTATCAGAATAGAACACACATCATCCAAACACAATCCAAGAGTCATATCCATCCGACCAGGCCAGGAGCCTTTTACATCATTACACTCTTTGGATCAAACGTTGCACCCCCCAGTTTTTTTTTTTTTGGCTAAGTTAGTGTAACTTGCCTTGTCGCTGGCCGGGGGTCAGGTTAGTGTTGCTTTTACATGTTGATGTGTGGCAGGTGCTAAGGTGTTCTTGTGTCAAACTGTCGAATGGACCCACCAACAACCGCCAACAAAACCCAACCGGCTGGGGCTGGGGAGGCGGGGTGGTTTTTCCAGAGCTGGCTCCTGCAAGGCTTCAAGCTGTTCATGTTGATGCCTTCCTCATCTTTGCCCTCCCAGTACAAGATGTAAAACTTGGTCCTGCGCGAACATGGATTTGGTCTGGCAAACATTGGGTTCTTCGTAGCAGGCAGGAATCAAAAGGATAAGGCATTTCATGAATCAATCATAGGTGTCTGTCCACAGTAATGTAATTCTTGTTTGAACACAGTCTCTTTTATTTGTATCCATACACATAAATGTGTGAGTAATTATATATATATACAGTATACATATATATGGTATATTATATATAGTGTATATAATTATTGTATATTATTGTATATTATATATGTGCTCTATGCACATCCTTGCGGCACCAAGTCTTTCCACTTTTCACCCCACCCGTGGGCCCCCCATGATCTCCCACCAAGGAAGAAAGGACCGGTGCGCCGTGGGCGTGCGGCGTTTTCGCCGCGTCCTAGCTGCCATTGCTCAGATCAGCTTCATACCAGGAGTGGCGTCCCATGTGTTTTGGATCAAACCGGTCAAACGGCTGCATCCGGAGATGGGATCTCGGTCCCGGTCTTCCCCGGTGTTGAAGCTGAGAGAACCGGAACGAAAAACTGGCCGTGGGGGTGGGGGGGACATCTGGGGGTGAGGGGGGGGGACATCTGGTGTGTCTTGCCAAGTCAAGAAGTGTCTTCACTTCTCAGGGTCTGCACTTCTTCTTGGATGTCCTCTGCACTTCTATTCCTTCGGGAGATGCTTTCTTTTTCGCGGGTGGCGGCCATTTTTCCGTTCTTTCGGGGCTTTCACATTGGGTGGTCTGCGGCATTTCGGAGTGCTGGCCAATGGGATTCCCAGCATCCAAGAGGTGACTGATCTTCAAACTTCGGGTGGCTACTTCCACGCCATCCTTTCCCCCGGTGGAGATGTCAGGTCTGATCTAGTCATTTTCCATCTTTTTGGGAATGGAAGCAAAAAAAGGTGCTCTAACAGCAAAGCAAAGCTTCTGGAATTCATTTGGACTTTGAACGTTACGAAGAAATCGACAGTCCGTGGTCTATGGACAATTGCCTTTGAATGCCTTTGATACTATCTTGCCACATGTGTTCCGAGGGGTGGGGTGTTGGAAGTCGGCACATGTTACTTTTCTAAAGCCAACATGAAGCGACGTTGGCTCAACGCTGCAGATGTGCACTCTGCCGATCCCGAACATGAGCCAGGATCAAAGCCAAACTAGAGTGCAGCCCTCCGAGAGTTTGGCAGCAGATTTCTCGTGCAAAACAGCTTGATTAGCACAGTGTCTTTGTGGCCGCAAAAAGCACGGCCAACACCAGCAAACTTGCCCCCAGCTCTGGATGATGGTATATAACAATTGGGTTGATTTCTTTGGGCCAAGGATTCGCAGATGGCTATCTCTGGGCCCAACCTGGGATGGGACTCAGCTCTGTTCCCACCCAGCTCAATACCTGCACAGGTCGTATGGCGACTGACCAGTGACAGGAACTTCAACGCGTGGTTCTTTACTGAAGCGAGATACAGTCGATTGCCCTGACATATGATTCCAAATTGATTAAATGCCTCCGGAACATTGTCAGCACCATCCAGGAACAGAATTCTTGCTTCCAAAAGTTCGAAAACCACAGATCCACTTCTAAAATGGTACAACCGCCACATGAAACCACGACCCGATGTCATGTGGCTGGTGTCTCTCGTTTCATCTCAGGGCCACGCGGCATGTAGCCTTGGCTGCGCACGCAGAAAGCACCAGTACATACCAGTACTGCCAGTACTACCACTACATACCCTCTCTCGTCTCTCGCTCACAAGTGCAAGCAAGTGTCGAGAAGAGGCACCTGAACAGCGGACACTGGCGTCTGACTATGGACTACATTGACTACATCTGAACTTCGCAGTTTCTCGCCCTTGAAGCCACCCATCTCTCACTCCCCAGTTTCTCGACCCCAATCTCTCAACCACTCACACCCCACCGTGGACCTCTTTGCCCCGAAGGAGCTCCAAGCAATGCCCCACCGGCACCGCCACACCGACCCCGGCACCGCCCCACCGGCACCGACGCGTTCCCGGCCGTACTTTCCACTTCTTTCCGGCGCCTTCGGGGCAGGGCATGCCAATCTCATCGGGAGTGTGTGCAAAGTTGCACATCTCTCCCTTGGTACATCTTCCTTCCCTCAGATGGATTGCGAGGGTGCGAGGATGCGAGCATATGGGACGGACAGGACGTATGGCCGCACACAGAGCTTAACAAAAAGCCGCTGTGTTGGCCGAAGATGGTCACAATGCTGGTGCCTAAACATGGTGCAGCTGTGTTTTTGTTGTTGACTCACATCCCTGGTTTAGATTATGCAATGTTGTCAGTAACAATTATTCTGATATGGTTGCTGTATCTATCTCTAGAGTCTTCATCTGAAATGGTCTGTAACGGTCTCCCGATGTCTATCCGCTTCATTTGGGGGTCGGTCAACCTAGTACTTTGACTCACAGCCATATTTGGGCATGTTATAAACTGGAAGTTTGGGACAATAGACCAGTCTACCTAGCCAGGGGCGATTGGTTGGGGGTCTCCCGGATGTAACTAACATCTGCAGCCATTGACCGTTCCAGTCTTCCGTTCTTCTTCCAAGCGTCGCGTTGAAGGAGCACATGGCGGACTTCACTTTCGGCCCTCAGTTCTCGGCGTTGCCTAAAGGTTTCGGTTCCCTTCCCTGCTAGGTCTCCTTCTACTAAGAGAGAAACAGCATGCCAGTGTGGCAGGACACTACACTGTCAGAGGAAGCTCGGGTCCCCAAATCCGAGCTGTCCGCCACAAACCAAGAAACCGCAGCTGACTTCACTTGCGGTTCACTCAACGCTTGTTGCCTCGAGGCTAGCGCTAATTGGCTAATATCATGAATGAGACCCCTACTGGCCACATGGAATGTCCGATGTCTGACATGCAATGATGCATGAACAAACAGGCCATGGTGCTTCTCTTCATGGACAGTGGCATGGAGAGCTATGGTTCCACAATGTTGCATAGTCCCGAAAAGATGTGAACATCCTCACACATCCTGACGTCAAATTCCTTGCGGATCTCAGACACCCCCAAAATCCGAACCTGACGGTTGCCCGATCCTGAACCCTCCGAACCCAAACCCTCCCAAATCCCTCTGAGCGATTCGGACCATTGGTGCCTTTGCACTCTGAGTCGGGCCTGCGCAGAATCCCTGGACACCTCCTACCCAGAGCCACTGTGGTGGGAAATGAGATGGGACGCTCAAACATGTGGGTCTGAGACGGGTGGCTGAAAAAAGGGCCGTAACCGGCAACCGACGGGATCCGAAAGGTTTCTTGAACATCACCGAGCAGCAGTTCCTGGAACCAACGTCTTGCTTAATATATGTTTAGTGAACAACAGGTGTAGCCTAACTGGCCCAACTTTCACTCATGCAAAACGTTGTGCGGATCGTCTCAAACTCGATGCAGTGATCGGAATGATCGAACGCCGCTCCGCCACTGAAAGACCCCAAAGCCGGTGGCCTGCATTGGTAAGTTCCATCGCCAACTTCAATCACCTCAAAACAGAAGAACAAGTAGATGAAAGGTAATGTTAAGTTCTGTCCAATATGTAGAATACTATATATATATATATACGTTGTATCTATATAACATAAAACAATATAAAACAATAAGTCAAGACCCTCTTACAGTCAATGTATTGGACATAGTTTTTGTTGTCAATGTTTGAAGGACAATCTCCTTCATTGGAGGCATGATGGAATAGCGCTGGGGGCTGGCGTAACTTTGGGAAGAGGCCGGTCTATGTTTTCATCAAATGCGCAGGGACTCTCTGGGTTTTCTGCGGCGGTCAGCATTTGCAAAGAAAGTTCGAACGCCTTCACTCAGTTCCTTGCTGCGTTGGCACTTCGTTGCTTCCCATGCACCGCGCACGTGAAGGTGCCTGTGACATCAATTCTGAAGAACTTGGTACGACTTGACAATGTTTTGTCATTGTGTATCGGGAGGCTTATAATTCTACAAGTACGCTGCTCTGTATCCTCTGGAACATTGCGTGAATTACCTCGCCAAGCACCCGCAATTCCGCAATTCTTTAGTCCAATGTGGATGACACTCATTCCATCTCATTCCCACTGCTTCGTTCCCATGTGGAGTTGACCATCTACTGAAGCCATCTGGCAACATCGATGGAGAAGTGGTCCGAACCCTGCGGGGGCGCGGTGCACCTCCGACGGGCGCCGTCCATCCACCGCCTTTCTTTCCTTTGCCTCGCGCGACGGGGGGGCCGCCACGCCGCGGGTCGCGCCACGAACGAACTCGCGCCGCGGGTCGAGCCTGGGGTTTTCCACGAAGAAAGACGGGTGACCCGACCGATCACCGAGTATCCACCGGATCCGATCCTCCTCGACCGGATTGAAGGCCCATGGAAAAGTGGGGCCACATTCACATCATTCACATCACCCTCTCAGAGACTACTAGTATGATCTAGTATGTGGATGCAATGGACCTCTTCCCCCTCCGTTTAGCACCATTTCACCAGTTCTCCAGAATCCTTGTGCCATCCTTGTGCCCGAAAACCAGTTCTCCGGCATTCTCTCTCAGCCAGGACATGCTTGGCAAGTGGCCCATCTTGCCCATGCCCTTGGACATCATCATCTGCATGCCCTTTTGCATCCAGGCCATCATGGCCTCAGCAGGATCGTACAGCTCGGTGCCACGGAGGTGCCACGTTCGTTCCTACTGCGACGCCGTGGCCCGGACCGTTCGTTCGGACCGCATGGAACCCTCCGAAACGGACCCCTGGAGGTTTTCGGGAAACTGGAGGACAGAAGCCACACGAGTCAATTCTCCGGGTCCGTCCGGACCTGCCAGGGGAGGGGGGGCTATCCCATCCACCGACTTCAGGCGGCCCATCCACGACTTCACGGTGACCTGCAGGTTCCGATGGGGGTCACCGCTGCATGGGGGCTACGGGTTTTACGTGTGGGACCCTCAACATGATGAGTGGCGTGTGTGTGTCCTAAACCCTCAAAGGAGGAGTCCATCAAGAGGCAACGAAAGTGGGGTCAAACGGTGAAGATCGAAACAAGTCGGCATCATGTGTTAAGTTGTCAGTGTACAATGCACATGCGACGTGTGCATGAACACATGTTGGGGCAGCCCCCCCAGGTATTATCAGGTATTGTGAGTGATTATCATTGTCTCTGTGAAGCTCTGCTGCCAAGCAACGCCTTTGCCTGCGCCATTATCCATACCCCAGCTGTCGCCACCCCAGCCGCCCTTGCTGTTGCCACCCTAGGAAACCACTGCAATCACGGCGCGAAACAGAAACAAAGAGCGCAAACAAAGAATGTGGTGTGTCAGAAAACGGAAGCAGGATATTTTCCCTAATGTCTTCCAATCGATTCTTGAGAAAAGTGCGACGAACACCGTTGCACAGTCCGCTCATGTTGTAAGCCTTTACTTTGGTGGCTTCAAGTGCAGAGTATTTCCATTAGGTTTCCTGCACCATCTGATCTACTTCTCACATTTCACACACATGGCAAATTCCTCAACACAAACTGTTCTGCTCTGAGGCTGAGAGAGTCTTTCTGCCAACTCGGGAAGGGCAACGAAGCGAGTGAAATGTAGTCGAAGCAAGCACAAGCCAAAGGCCCCGGGCACAAGGAGCTTTCGTGCTACGACTGAGGTGCGTGCCCAGCTGCCCTTTCCTTTGCCATCCTTTGCCATCCACGGAAGACGTGCAGCGGAGGGCCCGGAGAGATTCGGATTCCGACTCCAAGGTGTGGCAAATGGGTGTGCATTAGAATATAGAGAGAGCCTCCAAAGATCCATTGGCCAGTCTACCCATTGGGTTGGGGGGTGTCCTCTATTGAAATAGACACCCACATGGTTCATCACTTTGTGGATATCCAACGAGATCGGGACGTCAACGAGATCCGCCCCTTTTTCATCCCATCCCTTTGTAACACTCGCAGGCCATGTTTGGCCGGGGTCCCAACAGGTCACTGTCACACATGTTGTCACCTAAAGAACACCTAAATGAACATTGTGACATGTCCTCAAGCGTTTTGACATCTCAACAAGCAAATGTTTGAACTTTGAGCAAATACTTATTGTTTGGAACCGGGTTCGGGGCGAAGAAACAGTCTCAGGTGCGCACCCAGCTCCCTTTGCCCTTGCCGAAGCCTGTGCGCGGCATGGTGGTATATAAGCTTCCTTTTTGTCTGGAACGTATCAAAGTTGAGGAACCGACTGGTAGTTGTCGGCAACCCTTGTGCTGATTCACAAACCAAACAAAAGCGGCAAACTAAAAAAAAGAGAACCCACGTGGCAACATTCTTTTCTCCCTGCCCATCAACTTGCCACTGCACCTTCATACTTCTTGCATGGATTTGCCTGGCATGACTTCAATTTATATACTTGCCACTCTGAGTCTTGTTCTTCTTTACCTACTATAATACGTATAATATATACAATAACACAATATCACACAACAGTCATCCACTCACCCATCCATCCATGCACCGAGTCCATTCCTCCGAGTCCATCCGTGCACCGCCCGAGTCGGTGCCCGGATCACGCCTTGGGCCATTGCGCCCATCGCCGACATTTGGGCCGCCATGGCGCCCATGCCCGACATCGCGTTCTCGCCCCCCATCTTGCACCTGGCCGACCGGCCGCGGCGCAGGAGAAGCGTGGCGTGGCGAGGTCGCGCGTGCCAAGCGCGTGGTGTTTATGCAGAGCCTGCCGCGACGGATCGCCCCAAAGGATGAAACATCATGCACATAGGGCTCCAGTCAAAAGGGACCAAAGAGTTGTCCACTGTGAAAGGATCTATATATTATTCTTCAGTGAATTCTGGGGATGGATGGCTGGATAGATCTGGAGAGGGTGAACGATGATGGATGTATATGAATGATATGAATGGACTCTGAATATGCAAATGGAATCAACATGGAAGGATATGAATTTCACATGAATACGAAACCTGGCGACCGTTCATGCGCAACGGAATGGTCCAAGCTGGCCTTGCACCTTCTCTACATCTAAAGCCACCCATGCCATCCTCCATCAAGCTCCTTGGTGATTCATCCCCTCGTCTCTTTCGGTCGTTTTCGCGTCGTTTTCGTCGACTTTCGGTCCACTCCAAAGGCATCGGACGAAAAGAAATGACACAATTCCGAGGGATCCGGGTAGCCGGGCATGGCAAGATGTGTGAGCGATCGCCTATATTTCAACAATTCCGTGCTACCCCAATTCCGAAATATGCATCTTGCTTCCTCTACGACCCCAGCATCTAGTACCAGCTTGTTTTGGTTCTTTGGTCCTCCAACAGACTTCGACAAATGAAGAACACGTGCTAAGAACTCTGATCCATTCTTCAACAAACATCAATCCACACTGCCCCTGGCAGCAAAGCATTCATAGACAAACATAGGGGGAAACAATGAAAAACATGCAGATCTCTCCCGAAAAGATTTCATCCGTGTGCAACTGAGCGGCTGCATGCTTCTATTCTTCTGGTGAACGGAGCACATTTGTGTGGGCGTCCCCATCATCGCAAAACCTGCGCGTTCCACAAACGCAAAAAGCTTCGGCCAGGGAGCTGGACAGATTGAAGTTGGCAGTTCCAAAAACAGCGTCGACAGGTAGTGCTAGACTGCTAGACACCTGGTATTCTATATCGCGTTTCCACATAATATATATTAATATCACATAATATCACATAATTTATTAAGAAAGCAGCGGATCAGTTCGAGCTACAACTTTCGTGTGAGCCACTGAGCGGTCGGTGTCAACTGCCACATGCGAGGACTGCCACCCGCTGGCTCGTCTGCGTTTGCTTCGATTTGAAGATCATCCCGTGGTCACCCCTACTTTACACAGCCGAAGACATTGTCTTCAGGAGTCTTCAGGTCCAACGAGCTTTCAGAAGGAGTTTTCTCGGGCTTCTTTGAACCACTGAGCTTTGTTGGTTCTTTCATCTCACCTTCGACTCCTTGATTTTGCTGCGCTGTGCCTGGCGGTGCCCTTCCGTGCCTGTCGGGAGCCCTTCAGCCCTGAAACATTGGGTGGCAGCGGGCGGAAACTGAAGCCAAAGATCGCCCGCAAAGGTCCACAACTGAGTCAAATTCAAGAAACATGTGGTGGTCATTAAATGACGTCACTACCCGGAAAGACAGGTTGGTGAATCTGAAGTTCTGATCTAGAAGAATGATGAATTCTTCTCCGACCAAGCATGGACAAGCGGAAAAGTCACACGGAGTATTCATTGGATTCAAACCCGAACCACCGCGTTCTTAATTCTTTCCAAGAAAACACTTCGGACTCCAAGTACTTTCCGAGTTGGATGGTTTTTCCATCAATCATCATCCGTATAGTTGTGACGGCAAAAGGAATGGTTTTGGGTCGGCGGTCAAAACCTGGGTCGCCGCGGCTAGTCGAGGACCCCCAGTTGTCGGCACGTTATTTTGCATCGCAGCATCTCACAGCTCACCCGACTTTGTGGCACTGCTGGGCTTGAGAAACTCAAAAGGTTTCTCCTCGTGCTGAAAACTTTTGGAAACCTCACCCGAATGCCATGGCACATGCTCACCCTCCACCTCCAGGGATCGCAAGGGCTGCGATGGCGAGAAGTCCAATTGTTTCCTAGGTGTTCCATGGCACGCCGACCAAAGAAATTGACTCCACCACCGCCGAAGAACCCAACAAATTGACACCACCAAGTGAAACAAATGCTTGTCCGGAACCTTTGAAACTCTGGTACTCATGCTGTATTTGCTGTTCAAATTTATTTTGGGCAAAACGCACAATATTGAGGTCAGCATTAACATTAATTGCAGTTGGTTTCTGGTTTGGGACCGTTTTAGATGGTGGGCATGTTCCTTCTTCCAAACAAATGTCAATTTTGCACTCACTGAACATAGTACCAAACTGGACTGGGACATGCTTAAATACAAATATAGAGTGACGTGGTTCCGCCCCATCACAGGGGGCCCCGGTGCCTCCAGGGTTTCTACATCAGTTATATAAATAGGTTAAGCGGCAGGCGTGATTGGGGCTCTCTGGGTTTGAGGTCTCGACCCCTCTTATTCACATGGTCGTGGACCAAAACACTTGGGAAATAAGCATCTCTTCAAAAAGCCTGTGCGTGTACCTTCTGCTGGCATCATAGACTTCAATAGCCTTCAGATTCAAGAGCTCCCAAACCAGACCACCAGAGGGTGACTGTCCCACATGCAGCTCGGTCAGTTTCACTTTGCCAAGCCTCAAGTCGACCCAGAAAACGCTTGGTGCGGTCACCGATTCGAAATAATAGACCAAGCGGGTGTGATCCGCCACAGAGCGCCACAAGGTCGACGCCAAGTTGGGCTTTTGAGGAGCCTCTGCAGCGAGGGTCGGTGGGCGATCCCCAAGAAATACTGGGGTTCAGGGTGGACGTCCCAGCAGTACTTCCTTCAACTCTTGAGAATTTCAAAGCCCACAGGTGAAAACACTCATTGTCGGACACCAAAGGTGACCAGTTGGCTTTTACACAGCACTGCTCTATGGTGTCAAAGCCCGGGTACTTGGCCGGCTTTGTCATGGTGCAGCGTCGTGCCTTTTGTCTTCGATTGCTGACCGCCTTTAAACATACTTTTGGAGACTCTTCTTTGGCAACACACACCGAAACCCGAACCCCCTGGCTGCTGTCTTGTTGGTGCCTGCTGGCTGGGTGCCTGTACTTGTGGAGGAGGAGGAGGAGAAGGAGAAGGAGAGCTCTGATAAAGTCTAAAAACATCTAAAAACCCTCGGTGGGGGATTAAAAAGACAACAGCATCAACTGGTAACCGGAGCTCTGTTCTGGAAAGGGGGGGGAATAGACCAGGTTCAAGGGATTAGCTGGGACCTCATGTTCAACCCCTGGAACTGAACCCCAAAATGAACAAACAAAACACAACTTGGCCAGCCTAACTTCCCCTGGTTCTGCGGTGGTTCCTTGGATCTGACCAGCTACCGGATCTGCCAGCCCCCACCAACATGGTGTTTTCTTTCGTTCGGTTAGATACCATGTGTCCGTCCACCTGGGTGCAGGTCTTCCGAAGGAATCGCTTCCAATTCCAAGGGGCATCCATTCTGAATGCCGATTTCAGGCTCCAAGAGAGGCTGAGAGACCTGAACTGGGACCCTTATAGTGCCTAGAATTAGGGACACATCTCCTCTCCAGGCATACTTCAGGCGGTCCAGGGTCTTCCAAGCGATTCTTTTGGACGACAAGGCTCTGTGATGCCCAAGGGCACACTGATATGTCTCATGAGCGAGAAGACGGTGGCCACCGCCTGGTTTCACAGACACTGGGCCGCATGTGTATGGGATGTGGTCTCGCTGGCAAACAAGACAGCGAGACCAAGGAGGCACCAATGCACGGAAAACAACCATGTACTCTGCCAGTTGGATCGGCTACAGCGGCTACAGCCCACTATTGGGATGTATGGAACATACTGGCATTCTGGAAGTTCCTCACGTTGAAGCTGCCGGATGTCCAGGTCCCGAGTCGGGGGGTACCACTCCTGACCTGGCGATTGAAACCGTATGGGGGCTGCGGGGTGTGGTTCAACCCCCCAACACCAGGCAGAGCAAGTTGCACACACAAGCAAGAATGTGGACATCAGCAAACAGGCAAGTGCGAGCTCTTCATTGGTCGAATCAGTTCTAGTA